ATGCTGATACGATAGACAAACACCTTTTAGTGTTGCTTCCCTTCCGGACGCCGATTGAACCCTGGAGACGCACTGCACATAAACGACTGCTGACGGGGATCCAATCGATTATAGAGGACTCCTCCCTATTACTGAGTACAATACCTACCCCGCGCTGACCTACTGAACGAGCTTCATCGTCGCCTGATGTGCGAAGAACGTATCTCGTCGACAAATCTGGCGCGCTCAAGTGGCTTAGAGTAGTAGGATCCTGGATCCGAGTTTCCGACACGCAGCAAATATCGATTCCTAAGGATTCCATTGTACGAGCCAAACAAGCTTGTTGACCTAGCTGCATTAAAGTCCTCTCGTTGAAGGCCCCAGATTCAGTGATTGACGAGGCTTTAGAATCTGCAATCCATTCCGTGGGAAATCACTTACAGTACTATTTGGCAATAACCTTTGGCGATTGACATCCAAGTTGCTTGAAAGACTATTACAGGTCGGTAGAAGGGGTAAAGGGAGAGGGTTGGAGACGGAAGACAAAGTTAAACAAAGGTTGGGATATCTGAGCAGTAGCGACTTATCACTACCCACCCCGCTCGATGCAATGGGCAGCGCGGTCCTGATTATCCTGCGCGACGACCGATGCAGTATGAAATTATTTTTGTTTTGTGTACGCATTGGGGTTGGTTGCTATGATTCTTCTTCACTTACCGGTCAACTGTGTGTTTACTCAGTATGTTTGGGGGTGGGTGTCTAGGGTTGTGGCTCGTTACTCTTCCGTTGCACCTTACGAAATTCTCCCATATGACCAGGCGTCTCAAATAGCTTCTGCTAGGGGAGCTTTACTGCGTTCTCGTGGCGATGTTTTCCCACCAAACTGAGAGGACGAATAACCGACGTCCGGAGCTACAACGGGGTTTGGTTGACCACTGATACTTCACCTGGGAAAGCTGGCTAAAATCCCTGATTCCAATCTAAGCAAGAGCCACACATCCCGGTTGTGGCAGTGGTCACCGGTCCAACCGGGCACCTTGGATGTTTGACCCGGTCCAAAGGGTGTAAAATCCGATGAACTGGACACCATCCCGCTGCCTCATGGGTCAGACTTTGGTTCCAGTTGGATTCCTCAACCTGGCAGCATTGTACACACATGTAAATCATGGAACGTTTTCTTTTTTATAAAGGTTATTGTACTATTAATTGTTTGGCACAGTCTGGCGTCAGACTTGTGAATCACGAAATCTGCCATAGCTTCCCTGAAATCTCATCTGTCTGTGCTGCGGCAGTCTGGTCAGTGCCGTCATGTAGCACAGAAGATAAACAGACTGCCCTCAATTTAACATTGCCAGTTGTGCAGCGTTGTGTGATTTTTGGTGAGGCAATTCAAGTGAGATCAGTTCGGAGTATTAGATAAACAGTTCGGGACTTGTTCAATTGTTCAGTTATCAAAGAACACGGTAGGTGGGATGCGAGTTACCANGAGTTACCAACTCCACCGGGTGGGCATTGTTTAAGTGCAGTTTTCCGATGCAGAAATTTGTTAGAACTTCAATGGTATTGAATGACCCGGTGCGATTGTGATGATCCTGTGCTATGGGATAGCGTCATCCACGTAGCGACGCGTTACAGTTTCTGGACAAAAACCACAGGCCAATCGTGCCGACCAGTCAGAAGTCATGCGGTCCAGACAGAAGTTGTATGACTTCAAGATTACAAGCAGACCATTGATGGATACCTGTAAAACCAATAAACTTCCTTTGTACGTGTTATTTAATCCCCTTGGTTTCTTCCAATAAATGAACTGATACTTCTGTGGCCTTTTTCTGGCGTCTCGGCGAAGTGGGCGGTACCAGCGTGCGAGTGCATGTGCGATTCAGCTTTTCAGTTGAGGCCGTGATTCGTAATTCGTACCTAGTTCAACCACTACAGTGATATAGTGAAACTCTTGGTCACATAGATCGTACGCGTCTGTTCTAGGGGTTGATCTAATCGATGGATAGAAACGTTGGCAAGTATGGGTAAGTATCGTGAACAGTAGCACTCGTTTGT